ATGCAAAAAAAAAGAGGAAAAAAGAACGGTAACCTGGTTGCCGAGTTCACGAAGTGAATTGGCTTGTTTTACAACGTCGTTGCCAAGCGACGAAAACCCGACTCCGATGGAAAACATCGGGAGTGGGGGGGGGGCGATGGGGAGACTTGTTTTACAACGTCGTTGCCAAGCGACGAAAACCCGACTCCGATGGAAAACATCGGGAGTGGGGGGGGGGCGATGGGGAGACTTGTTTTACAACGTCGTTGCCAAGCGACGAAAACCCGACTCCGATGGAAAACATCGGGAGTGGGGGGGGGGCGATGGGGAGACTTGTTTTACAACGTCGTTGCCAAGCGACGAAAACCCGACTCCGATGGAAAACATCGGGAGTGGGGGGGGGGCGATGGGGAGACTTGTTTTACAACGTCGTTGCCAAGCGACGAAAACCCGACTCCGATGGAAAACATCGGGAGTGGGGGGGGGGCGATGGGGAGACTTGTTTTACAACGTCGTTGCCAAGCGACGAAAACCCAACCCCGATGGCAAACACCGGGGGGGGCGTGAGCTCATAATGTTTTGCATGCCTTAGCGGTCAGACCATTGACCACGAGTCCTCGTGAGGAGACGGGGCCTTTGTTACCACAGGAGCGATCACCGATGGCCAATCGTTCCTTCCTACTTTCCCAGTAAAAGTGGCTCAAAAACAGGTTCGTGGATGATACCTACCAGACGCTATGGTTCGCACCCCCTTGCCAGTCCCCGGGTTTCCCGTTAGATCGGTTTGTGAGTACACTTGGCTGTCGCCAGCATTCCCATCTCGGTGTGTCCTCGGTTTCTCGCGCATCCAGAGCCATCCGACTCTAAATCCCCATCAAGGAGCGCCAACCTTGAGTTGGCACTTATCGAGGGGACACGAGATTCACGTTCTCCGGGCTTGGAAAATAAGCCCGCTGGTTGCCCCACACTTTCATGCGGCACTACAGAAGTCACCCAATCACAGCGGTTCATCAGTGAATGAAAATCGATGGCGGTACGAAGCGCCTCCTGATGCCCCTGATTCTCAAATCAAAACCTCGAGAAAGATCGACAGAGGTGCAAAAAATATCATGCGATCGATTGTACCTTGGGGGCCGGAACCGGTTTCGCTCTCGGAAGGGCGGATTCCTCCTTTGCCGGAAGTGTCGCGACAGGCCCCACCTCCGACGGGACTGTGGGCAGCACGAACAGCCTGATGATACACGGCCCCAAACAAGCATACACGCACACGTGGGGGACATCGTGTGAGGCGATGGTGTCGGTTGGATGGCATAGCTTTCTTTTTTTTATTCTCCCATTATTGGACTCTGTCGTCTGCCCCTCTGGCCTCCACCCTCCACTTGTCTAGCTAGACGATCCAACCGGGGTCACATAGGAAGGGGGGGCTGGACCCCCTCCTGCGGTTCCCGCCTGAGATTTTTTTTATCGCGAGAAGGGTACAGCAATCCCTTCCTTCGCGACTGATCAGGTTGATCATGTTTACTAACAACGAGCTTTACAGCGCGTCGCTTCCAACTGAGACCAGGATTAGTTTTAGTAACACAACAACTCAATGTACCGGCACTCGAACACATGACCTAGCCCTTAGTGGGCTGCGAGGGTACCCACTAGACCACCGGGGCGACCGGTGTCTGGGCACTCGGGAATATGTGCCCAAAGCAAACCGCACAAAGTGGACACAGGCTTGGATCCACTAGAAAGCGTACACCGCGAGGGCATCGTGTTGACGATATACCAGAAACACTTTGTGAGGCCGCATAGCACTATGGGATTTGGCCGGCCACTATACCGGACTCTTCGGAGCGTGAGAAAACTCGAATAATCCATCCTGTATGTCACGCGATTCTATCGGCCGTATTCAGGGCGACTGGTCTCACTCATGCGGCCTGATGGAGAGAGCACTGCAGAACCCAACCCCCCAAAACTCCGCACGTGAACAGTCATGCTGCTGTGCTGACGGGAAATGCGTGTATCATCAGGGACTGGGGGCATCAAGCGAGATGTCCACCTCGTACCTTGCCTGCTGAAAAAATTGTTCTGACAAAACAGAACGAAGTGAGAGGTCGTCCACCTGACTCCACGAAAACCTCTATTTCTTTCCTTGATACTTTTCTACACAGAAGGATGTTCTTCACATTCTTTTTGTGCCCGCCCTCTGAGGAAAGCTTCACCTATTGATGAGCGACTGCACCGCGGCTTGGGCCTGCCCCTTGAGGTACTCCTCGCTGTCGTCCGCCAACGCTTGTTCGTCCACTTGGTGAGGGTTCACCACCAGCAGATTCCGGAGATCAAACTGTATTTCATTCGAGCGAGAGAACAAACCAGTTTGGAGGGGGGTCTGAGAAAAGGAGGTGTGTCACGTACTTCGCCGTAGGCCAACACGCCGGTGAACTATTTAGTCCAAGATCCAATCCCCACTTCTTTCCAAAACATCGATAATCCAAAATGCTGTGCACCAGGTCATTAGCTTGTTTTGACTTGCGTTCGGAGAATCTGATTGCCTTGCTGGTGCTTGGGCTATTGCTGTCTGTATTGATGATACAATCGTCCTGACAAGAAACAAAACGATCTTTTCCGAAGTATACATGGACCCTTGTCCATTCCGTACTCTAGGAAAGAAGATGTTTGTACATAAGAGACCAGGCTCTCGAGAGCTTTTGGCTCGGCATGAAGTTCGTGCAACTACAGCAATTGACGCTATTTCAGGCACAGACAGCTATTTAGTTGTGGATAAGCGAGGTGTGCTCCGAATCCGTCGAGTTGCTCCCTGCGCTGTTGGTAAGCTTTATGGTAGTATTGGTAGGAGTTGGTGCCGTATACGCTACGCACGAAGCTTGTTTTGTGACAAGGGTAAGACTTCTGCCGCCCAGAGTGCGGGCTTTGCGTAGCGTCTACGGCACCAACTCCTACCAATACTGCCATCAGTCCGCTTAACGAACAGCGCAGAGAGCAACGGACCCGGAGCACGTCGCCGCGTCCGCGCACGGCCGTCCCTGCCTGCAACAGATGTATTCACTGCTTGTTGTGCATCATCAACTCTCTTGCGGGCAAAACACTACCAGCGCATGGTTTCATTGCACCCCAATCAGATATATGACAAGCACTTGAAACGATACACAAGCACAGCAGTAGCAGTAGGCCCGTCTCTGTCTCTGTCCACTGGTGCACTTCTGAAATACTGGCTCTATCTTGATCCTGGCCTACCGGGCTAGGACACGCTAGCGACTTTCGAGCAGGCAAACAGGGGGGGGGGGGGGGG